TCTTCCTCCCGGACTGGGCGGGTCTCCAATTCTGAGTGCCTAGGGCCTTCTCTTGTGTCTAGTCTCTTCCCCACTTTTCCTCGAGCTAGGCCACACTCACCAGTGATGCTCACCATAATGCTGGCTACACGCCAGGTCTGGTGCTCCTGTGAGCCCTGTTTTCATTAATGCCTGGGCACACTCTCCCTGTTTGCCATTCCCTCGGACCCTAAGTTTGTAGAGCTTGGGACTGAGAACCCCCAGCGAATTTGCTTGCCCTCTGGTAGCCACGCCTCTGGAAGCTGGTGCAAGAGACCTCAGTTGTCAGCAGGGGTGGGAGTGGTAGCTGGGAGTTCCGCGCCACTTCTGATTCCCCCATGTAGGCAGGGGTGTTTGAAGAGCCGGGTGGGCGGGGCCCATTTGCCGTGTGGGTGGGGCCTTTCGCAGAGCCCGGTGGGCAGGAGTTGTTCACAGGAGCATGGGGGGGGGGAGTCGTTTGCAGCTCCGCAGGCAGCGGCCATTCGTATGTTCGCTGCAATGAGTGGGCTGCGGCAGTTCCGCGGCGGCCGGCAGGATTGTGCCCCTGCTCCGCGTTGCCGAGATTCACTTGTCTGGGACAAACTGACCCCTCCAATAGACTTACTAATTCCTGGCAGGTCTCCTTTCAGCGGAATTTTGCTAGAAGTTTCTCAGCAGGTCGCATGTAGGTGTATTAATGAGTGTCTCTGATCCCGTTACTGTGGAGGCATTGAAAGTGCTGCCTCCTCTCCGGCCGCCATGTTGGGTCTCTCCATATATGTTTCAATAACTGACTAGACAAAAATTTTTTTTTTTTGGTACTGGGGATTGAACCCAGGGGTGCTCTGCCACCAAGCAATATCCCCAGCTGCTTTATCATTTTTTATTTTGAGACAGGTTCTTGCTAAGTTGTTGAGGTTGGCCTCAAACTTATGATTCTGCTGCCTTAGCCTCCCCAGTCATTAGAAATGTAGGCATGCATTTATACCCAAAATTTTTTTGAGCAAAGCAGGAAACAGATTGCTGGGTGGCTGAGACATGAATATATGGATATTTAAGTTGGAGGATAATTAAATAAATACATAAGTAAACAATCTCTAAAGGTCCCTATTCTATTACTGACAGACTTAAATAAAAGAGTATAATTCGTACTTAATACCTCTCCTGTTAACATATGAATTAAATGATTTGTATATAAAACTAAACATATCACATTTATCAGGATTATTCTACAATTAGGTTATTTAGTAAAATCAAAATCCTTATAAACTACTTTCTAAAATCACAAAATCTGTGCGGAATTACAAAATACCCAGAATAGCAAAAGCAATCTTGAGCAAAAAGAACAAAGGTGGAGGCATCATACTGATTTCAAAAGATACTCTACAAAGCTCTAGAGTGTCATAGAAACATGGACCAATGGAACAGAATAGAGAGCTCAGAAATAAATCCACACATTTACAATTAATTGATTTTTGACAAGTGTACCAAGAACATACAATGGGTAAAGAACAATCTCTTCAATAAACAATGCTGAAACAACTGGATACTCATATACAGAAGAATAAATTTAGCCCTTCATATCATGCTATATGAAAAATCAACTCAAAATGGATTAAAAATGTAAATATAAGACCCAGACACGTGGAACTACTAAAAGAAAGCATAAAAGAAAAGCTCCATGCATTGGTAAAGGCAAGGATATTTAAGATGATCCCAAAAGCACAGGCAACAAAAGAAAAATAGACAAATGGAACTAAATCAAATGAAAAAAACTTTTGCACAGCAAAGGAAACAATCATCAGAGTGAAGAGACAACCTACAGAATGGGAGAAAATATGTGCATGAGAAGGGGTTACAAATTCAAAACATATAAGGAACTGATAAACTCAATAATAAGAAAATAAATAAACTGACTTTTAAAAATGAACAAAGGATATGAATAGACATTTCTCAAAAGAAAACACACAAATGATCAATAGGTATATGCAAAAATGCTCAACATCACTAATCATCAGAGAAGTGCAAATCAAAAACACAATGATAATCATTTCACCCCAGTTAAAATGGCTAATACCCAAAAGATGAAAGGTAACAAGTGTTGAATAACACTTGTACACTGTTGGTGGGAATGCAAATTAGTAGCTCTATTATGGAAAAGAACAAGAAAGTTCCTCAAAAAATTAAAAATAGAACTACTACAGGATCCAGCAATCCCACAAGTGGTGTATGTGTGTGTGTGTGTGTGTGTGTGTGTGTGTAATAAATGAAAAATATTCTTAAGAATGATTATCATGATGCTAAAAGAAGACTATTGTGATATTTAAGATAAACTTATGGTGTTTAAATATATATACACACAAACACACGAGAGAGATACCTGCACTCCCCTGTTCACTGCAGCACTATTCACCATGGCCAAGTTGTAAAATCAACCTAAGTTTCTATAAACAGATGAATGGATAAAGAAAATGTGGTACATTTATGTAATTTATGCAATACTATTGTTTTAAAAAGAAGAAAATCCTGTCATTGGTGACAACTGGATAGAACTTAAAGGATAGTATGTATAGTAAGTCAGTCACAGAAAGACAAATACTGTATTATCTCACTAACACGTGGAACCTGAAAAAAGTGACCTCATGGAAGGAGAGAACAGAATGGTGGTTACTAGAGGCTGGAGTGGATGAGGACAAGGGCTGGTCTGGTAGGATGATGGGAGAGATTCAGAGATGATGATGATGATGATCAAAGACAGGAGGAACAAGCTCAAGAGACCTGTTGTATTACATGGTGACCAGAGTTAATAACAATGTACTCTATTCTTGAAATTGCTAAGAGAGAGGGTTTGAAATGTTCTTGCCACAAAAACAAGTACATGAGATAATGCATATACTAATTAGTTCAATTTATCCATTCCACAATGTACACAAATTAAAAAACATGTTGTACATAATAAACATTGTCAAATAAATAATGTTTAAAAAGAACAAAAAGAAAAGAACAAAAGGAAATTTTAGTTTGATTGGCTTAATAAAAATACTGAATACAAACTCATGATTTTATTAAAAACTGCAATGAATTTTTTCCCTTAAGGTTTTAAAAAGTGAAAAATAGTGGAGGCATTTCATTTCAGTAGTTTGTGTGGGGAAAAAACGCTGACAAAAAGTGTTGGTTGATAATTAAAATGAGTTACCAAAGGAGATTGGGAAGCCTGTGCTGTTTAGTGGATGAAATTATAAAATAAATTCTCATTTGCCTGGAAGGAAGCAGGGAATGATTTTAATGACCTCTGTAAAGCTAATTCTATCCAATAGTATGATGTCCACATGGTACACAGGCTGTTTAAGAATCAGAATGTTTGGCAGAGAATACAAAAGCAATTGAATGAAAATGTAAACTTTCTTCAGAAAACATACTTCTTGGTAATATGCTATAAGACATTCATACTAGAAATCTTTATAAACTCCATTAATACTTTACCCTTTTTTTAATATTGTCTCTTCTCTTTGAGATCTTTTTCATGATGTTTCTTTCATATCCACTTTCTAAATAAATGAAAAATATTCTTAAGAATGATTATACAAATGCTAAAAGAAGACTATTGTGATATTTAAGATAAACATGGTATTTAAATTTTCTGATTTAATAGAAACAAATAAATATTCCCTTTAGTTTTTTTTATATTTATCATTTTCTCACCCTTTAGTATCTAGCAGAAATTCTGGTCAATGTAACAAGATGCACAAAAGAAGTAAAAGAGAACTTTAAGAAATGGAAGACAAAATTATCATCATTTGTAGATGATAAGTTTTTATATATTAAAACTCAAGAGAATGAATCAAAAACATTTAGACATAATAAGAAAGTTATTATCAAGAGGGAGAAAATATGTAGCAGTCAGCATCTTCCCTATATATTAATATAATATGAAAAAAATCACTTTCATAACATCAATTTAAAAACATTCCAAAATACCTAAGAATTACTTCTTAAAATATGTTGGAATTTCCTTCCTTGCAGAACTATTAAACTTTACAGTGGGAGAAAAAGCAGAGTTTGACTAAATATAAAAATACTACACAGAGGCATAGAGATTAACTCAGAGGTCATTTTAATCATACTAATGTGAAATAATAGATATCTGAATTTTAAAAATGGATGTGGAAATGGAGAATGGGAATGGATGTTAATGACATACTTAGGTGAAAGGTTTGGAAGTATTTAAAAAGACTGAAGCATTTGGAACAGAATAGAATCAAGTCTAAGTTAATATTTTTATTTGTTTAACAGTTAAAAAAAAGACACTTAAACAGATTGGCTTAATGATTGTGTGTGTGTGTGTGTGTGTGTGTGTGTGCGCGCGCGCGAACTATGGGGATCAAAGAGCCTCGCACATTTCATGCAGGTGCTCTACTACTGAGCTACAGTCCGAGTTGTTTTGAAATTTTTTTAAGTGTAAGATAAGGTCTTACTTAGTTGCCTAGGCTGCCCTTGAACTTGTGATCCTCCTACCTCAGCCTCCTGAGTAGCTATTACATACAAGCCACTGGAATAGGATAGCAAGAAAACTGAAGTTTGAATTTACCTTCCATTCTTCAAGAATTTCTGAAATGAACTTCCGATCAATACCTGGCTTTTTGATGCTTATGTATTGAGGTGACCAGCACCCCTGCCAAGGTAGGTTCCTGCTCAGAAGGTGTGAGCCGCCTGGGAAATAAAAAGTCTGAAATAATCGGTGAGAAATAAAGACAGAACCAGAAATTAGATATGAAAAGCGGAGTCTTCCAGTCCTGATAGAAGCTAGAACTGAACAACTGAAAAAATACTCCATTTCTTTATTTAAGGGGGATACATCAAAGGCAGGAATAAGGTTTTAGGGGGAGGAATCTGGGGTGCTTGCTTCTAGGTGTGGCACAGGTCTTGCAGTAAATAGGCTGATTGGCATTTTGGCAAGCCACACCCATCTCCCAGAGGCTGTGTGGCTCCAGCAGGTCACCCCATCTCTGGTGCTGTCCTGAACTTGAAATGGAGCTAGGCAGGATGTCACATGAACCGCATGGTTCATGAGAAAAATTTGGGTTTTGCCAGTTACCAGTTTGAGAATGCATTTCTCAAACAAGCAAGCTTGCTACTGGGAGTTCTTGATACCATACTTTCTTGCCTAATGGCATAACATCACTTTAGTTCACACACAGTTCATGGATGGCTTCCCACACTTAAATTTTTCTTCTAAACTAGAGAAAATATTAGCAGTAGTATGACCTAAAGATAGTAAAAGTGTAATTTGTAATCAAATTATCAAATAAAATATTATTGTGTAAGAAAATATTTATCTTTTTTTTTTGCACACCTGAGGATGTTCCTAACCTATTCATCTATTATTCCACATGAAAGATAAATAAATTATTATACACAAAATATTGGATAAAATTATATTAGATAAAAACTGCATTTGCTCTACTGAAATATCCCTTTTACAACAATTCAACTTTCTGTGTTAGAAAAACTGACTCCAAAAGTTAAACCCAATATTCTCTGTGAGGATATTGCTAATTTGCAATTCCTGTAGCTAAAGGGTAAAGAAATTGACTATTTTGGGGTCAGATGGCCTATAAGTCCACAGCCAAAGCATGAAAATTAAAGCTAGAAGTTCATTTGGGCTTTTCTGATTCTCAGCTAACAGAAGGCAATTCTATTTGTACAAATATTTCCTTCTTGCCTGGCAATGGGAAAACTTTGGGTTTTGCCAGTTACCAGAAGTACTATATATATCATGATGAGTCCTGAAATAAAACTTCCTAAAGTCTCTTTTATGTTTTTTGCAAATTTAATATCCAAACAAGAATATATCACGGGGACCTTTGAGAAACCTAAAAAAAAAAAAAAAAAAAGCTTCACAGGAGAACTACTCC